GTTGCTTTTGAAGGTATAAAACCATAATTGGGATATAAATATATATACACATAACAATTACTAGCTTTGATCCTTAATGTAAGAGTTAGAAAACTAATTGTAAATATTAAAAAAATTAATTAAATTATTTATTTATAATAAATAGGTGTTGCATTCTCTAAAACACCTATTAACGATGTGCATTGGGATTATTATTTGATGTAACATTTAATATGTGCAATTAATATGAGAACTATTTTGAAAAAAATAGATAAATGTATGAGACAAGATAGATTGATATCTTATATTCAAAATCAAATAGAATACCCAATTAGCTCCTATACTAAGGACTGGAGATAATATTAATTATATTTTTCGTATATAATTTATTATTTCAAACAAAATATAAACTAAAATCTATCATTTATCTAATTATTATATTAGCTTATGTCTTTTTTAGTAATTTGTATACGAAAAAAGATTCTGATAACAATTATCCAAATATTCTCGCTTTATCAAAATCATTTTTTTGAAATCTATTCTCAAAATCTATTCACAAAATCTATTTATCTAAAATTTATTCTCCAAAAGCTATTCTCTAAACCATGATAGGGGTGTTTGGATGAAAACAAACCATGGTTTGGAGAATAACTTTTGGAGAATAGATTCCAGGGAGAATAGATTCTGTGAAGAATAGATTTTTCTAAAAAATAATTTTGAGAAGTGAGAGTGTTTGGATAATTGTTATCAGAAATACTTTTTATATATACAATTAATAAAAAAAAGTTAATATGATAATTACATAAAAGATAGGTTTTATGATATATTTTAATTTGAAGGAATAAAATTATTAATAATATATTTTTTACCAACATAATTAATAATACATAAGATAATGTAATTAATAAATAATTAATATGCGTATATATGTTTATAAGATATAAGGTTAAATATGTTAAAAAAAAATAATTGAGAAATGTTAAAGTCATATTATTATTGAGATATACTCTGTCAGGCACAATCATACTCTCCAATTTGAGTCAGAAGCAAAATAGATTCACTTCTCTTGAAACCATGGTTTTGGGTTCCAAAAGCATGGTTTTGACCCAAACCATGATTTCAGATTATTGGCTCAAAATTTATACTATTTAGATGACATCCCACCTAAATTATAATTTTACCTCCCAAACCATAGTTTTGGAGGCCATCCAAACGGGCTTTTGGTTTCATCCGAACACATTCTTTTGACTCGTGGCGCACCAACTCTCCATGACTGGGATTAGAAGAACGAAGCATTGAAACGACGTAGTTTCAAAGTTAAGGAGGAGCCGCGGAGGAAACAGGTAAAGGAGAGAAGGCCCAATGCGAACCGTACCTCGGGGAGCCAAAACGCCAAAAGCCTCGCTGCGCTCGCGCGTCCCTCTGTTGTGGGTTCCTGTGCTCTGCTAGGGTTTTTAGAAATCGAGAGAAGGGGTTCAACAAGCGTTTCGCCGGTAAGTATGGCGGCGACCAGGGTTTTCGGAGCATGTAGTAGAGCACTGATGGCGGCAGCGGCGAAGGGGGCTGCGTCTGGTGTTAAGACTGCTGCGAAGACGGCCGCACCGAAAAGTCGAGGCAGCACCGCCTTACAGAAGATGATCCCTGTCTCGCCGCAGCTTGGCAAATTTCTCGGTGCCTCTGAATCTTCACGCGCTGGTGCCGTCAAGAAAGTGTGGGATCACATCAAACTCCACAACCTTCAGGTCTTCATTCTTTCCCGTTTCTGTGGATCAATGCTGCACTATATTTATATTTAAAAGTTTGTTCCCCCTATCTACTTCTATTATCCCAGAAATCAGTAGAACCATTGGGAATACATACGCAAATGTTTTACATTAGGTTCCTTTCTGAATGTTTTAAGGATTTCAGAGCTTTTCGTTCTCTGGTCCTCCTTCTGAAGGACTTGGTCTCTGAATCTTCAGAAAAGCTTCTGCGTTATTTCTCCGCTTTGTGAGAATTTTCTGTTTGCAAGTTGAGCACGTGCTCTGGACTTTATTCCAACACTTCCTTTCCAATATGTTATGGAATCTGTTTATTTTTCCCAATGGAGTCAGTCCATTTATTTTTCTGTTTTTTGACTGCATTGCTTGTCTCAGGCACGATGCAGCCGTAGCGGCTACATATAATGTATCTTAGCGTGAATTTGTTAGCTCTCATGCCAGTATCAAATTCTTATGCTGTAAAATTACTACATATTTTTTAGCGAATAAATGACTTATTCCACGGGATTAATACCGATAGCCTATGATCTTGAATGCATAAATTTGCCTGCTAATCTCTTGCATGCTCTTGCTACTATTGAGTTAGCAGTGGTAAACATAACGCGGAATATGAATAACCAACGCATAATAGCTTGTATAAACTGTTTCACCTAATGCCTATTTCTCAGTTGTTTGCATTAGAGAATTTTTAAGCTACTTGTTACTTGAACTCTTCTTCCCCATAAACCGCACGATATAGGCATAGTAATGGTTGTATTTTTGAAGTTGGTTAGCGAAATTTACTTGGACCGGGAAATTCAGATAAGTTTGTGGCTTATATATTTTTTAGGGAAAATCTCAAAAAAATGACTATTGAATTTCAGAAGTCCAGATGGGGAATTACTGCAAAAATGTTGTCATTTACTTTTTGAATGTAGTCATTTTAGCAATTACTAATTTGGAATTTTGAAATTCAAGAATCACTATTTTGGTATTTTTCCTATTTTTTATTTGTATTTTCTAGGCTAAGTTGGTTTTAAAATGGAAGTCATGACATAAAAGTATTAGATGTATTTTGGAGCATCTGTCTTTCATCTTTAGCCATGAAATGTATGAAGTATGTTTTGTTGATTCTTTGTTTACCCAGTGGGGTTGCATCTGCTAAGGGTGAGTGGAAGCTTCAATCATTCTTAGTTGTAGAAGTAAAAATAATGTCCTCTTTAGATTATCGATTTTTTTACCCCCTTTGTCCTCCATCGTTGTTTCCTTTCAATCGTTCGCTCTGTCATTTCTCTACAATGGGATGACTAAGCTATTCTTTCGCAGAATCCTACGAACAAGAGGGAAATTGTTTGCGATGAGAAGTTGAAGACCATTTTCAATGGGAAAGATAGAATTTCTTTCACAGAGATTGCCAGATATCTGTCTAACCATTTTGTGAAGTCGAGCTAAAGCTCTTCTTTGTAGGGCACTTAGTGAAGATTTCTGTATTGATTAGCGCAGTTTTACTGTCTTGTTTTTAGCTGGTTCCTTTCGGGCTTTTGTGCTTCAAAATGCATCCTTTATAAACCCAGTTTGATCAGTTATCAAGGAAACCTGGAAATCTGTAATATGCATGACATGTTGGTTTGAACGCGCTCGTGCGTTGTCTGGTATTTGTGGGCTTATATAAGCTGTTTATCAAGGTGCCCTTTGCTGAACTTCAATATTAGCAGGATTATATGTCAGATGAAGCTTCTGCTTTTCCCATTTTATATATGAAACATTTTCACTCAAGGTACAATTATTTAGATAGTTAAGATCCCAAATTTTTATTAATTTCGTCCTTTAATACCACTTATTAATTATTTATTTATTTCGAACGAGTAGCAAACGATTTTGATATTCTTCTATGAGCATTTTAAATAAAAAGATATTAATATTAGTTAGATATATATATTTATGGTTTTTTGGTTTAGATGGAGAGAGAAAGGGTGTGGTATCGTTAGCGTTTGGTTTTTCCGTTGAAGCACAAGTGTATGACTCAGGTAGTAAGAAGAGGGTAAAAAATTTATTAAAAAATTAGTTAGGCATTTAATTTAGTTTTAAATCTCAATTTATTTTATTTTTTATCTTTATTTATTTTTAAATTAGCCCCTAAGATGGTGATCCATATTAAAAATTTTATAATAAAATGATTTTAATGCATATGGTTAATCAAAATATTTTGAAAAATATTATACTATTTATTATAAATAATTAATTTAATTTTTTTAATATTTATAAATTAATTATCAAATTTATATTAAAAATCAGAAGTGGTACCATCTTAATAGTAAAATTGGTGGCAAAAGTAAAATAAGAATACATACGAAATTTTTGCGTGAGTATGGAAGTTTCATTTGTTTTAATGTGTCTTTAACCAATCCATCCACTTAAGATACTGGCAAACCAGATATTTGGCATATTTTAATTAGAGAACGTCGCAGTGAAGATATAAAACACTTCATCCAGTCTAATCCATATAAATAACCCAATAAAATTATAGAAAATGAACTACGAAAACTTGAGCAGCAGAACCGTTGGAACTTTATCTGAATTTGTTAAACTTGCTCAACCATATCAATAGTGCACAGAACAGAGCCAACCCTTCCCTTTCAATACAGCAGAACAATCATTCTGGACCAGACAGGCAACCATGATGATGGTTTCGGAGACAGTGTTTAATACCTTAAGACATGCACAGGATCAACCTCTTCATGAGTGTTAATATGATGCGTCCACTTTCATTTCGCAGGATACTAAATTACTAACGGTAGCTGCCAAGGACGTTGATTAGCCCCCGTGGCTGCTGCTTTACACTCTTAAGATGCCTTTGATGATCAGAATCATCAGATGAAATGTTCGTTCCTGCTCTTCTTTTTGTTTTTCACGCCTCAACTCCTGCCCTTTCGGCTTCTATGATAGCTATCAGAACCAGAATCCTCAGTCTCAGATGAATAGGAATGCCCTTTCTTACTGTTTTTGCTCCTATAACGCTTGGAATGCTTTTGGTTGGCCTTTCTCCTTTGATCATCCCTGTCTCTACCAAAATCTCCAGATGTATAAGAATGCTCATCTCTGCTCTTGTAATATCTATGTCTGTGATGCTTCTGAGAGTCGCAATTGGCTGTTGAAGTATGCTTGGTCTTATCCCTGTGCTGTCTTCCATGGTCAGAATCATCAGATGAATAAGAATGCCCATTTCTGCTCTTGTGCTTTCCATGATACCCATCAGGCCCAGAATCATCCTCAGACGAATAAGGATGTCTTTTTCTGCTCATTTTACTCCTATGATGTCCAGTAGGGTCAGGCCTCATAGTTGAATATGAATGCTTTCGTTTAGTCTTTCTACTCAGATCATCACTGTTACGGTCAGACTCTTCAGAATACGTGTGCTTATTTCCCTGCTTGTGATTTCCATGGTACCCACGAGGATCAAAATCCTCAGATGAAAAACAATGCCTTTGCCTGCTGTTCTTACTCCTATGCCCGTGATAGTCCAAATCTTTGGACGACTCCTTTTGTCTGATTTTTCTTCTTCGATCATCCCTATCACTATCCGAATCTTCTGATGAACAAGATTGCTGGTGCCTGCTATTTTCTTGATCCTTTTCAAAGTCCAAAGCGTCTGATGAACTTGACTCTGAATGATTTTGCTTCCTTTTGTTCACCTTACGTTTTTTCTTCTTTGACCTCCTATCTCCCTCTGAAAAACTATCATTTTCTGAATGTACTGATTGTCGTTTTTTGTGCTTGTTCTTTTTTGATTTCTTTTTGGGCTTCTTAGAGAAGGCTGTTAACAACTCAGGGATATCTCCGCCACCAAGAAAACCTGCAACATAGATGGTGATTATTGCATGTAAAGGATAAACATGAATGCTCTCTAGAATATGTTATACATAAAATACCGATACCTCCATACTCGTCAAATATTTCCTCAGCAACTATCTGTTGGTTAGGATCATCTGGATTGAATCCCCCCCGAGGGGGACTGATTCCCGGTTTCTGCTTCAGCTCCCACTTTAAATGCTGCAGTTGTATCATACACGAGAAAAGACACATTAGTGCACCTTAAAGGGAAAATTCATACACATCTCATTGCATCTTGATTATCACAGGACAAAAGCAACAAACTGTAACAGTGATCAACAACCAACCATGCTGTTGAAAGAGAAGGTGGGGAAAGGGTAAATATTTTTGGATAATCATAATCCTAAGGCGAGATAAATGACCCAAAAAAAGTTACCATTTGCACTATCATTCTGACTCCAAATTTTCTTCTCTTGCTCTTTTAGTTTGTGTTTAGATGGAGAATAATGAAGCAGAGAGGGGAAAGGAGGGTTGCATTTAGACTTCCCCTAAGTTGGAAAGGTTTTCTATCAAGTGGGGAGGAAAATGGGGGATTTTCAATGGACCCCTTGACGTTCATATTTCTGTCATCTAAGTTCCCCAGGAGACAGGAAAAATTAAATAATTACTATTTTCCCTAACCTACACCTCTCTAGTTTTTCACTCTCTCTCAGACAAATCCAGTGCAGGAATAATTTTTATTTAATGCTGTTAATTAAATTTTCATTCCAGACTATAGGATCTATGAATAGTAATCGTTAAGGTGAATTATACAATAAATAATAGGAAATGTAAATACGATGTATGCTGAGAAGTCAGATAGAGGTGGAAAGACTTTAAAAAACAAATGGTTCCAAGCGATTTTAGGACTCTGAGCAAATGCAAACATAACAGAAGGGTGTGATTGAGGGAAGTTATTTCACAATAAGATGAATAATCAGTCATATGTTTTCAAAAGGACCACATGCCAATAAAATTTCTGCGAGCTGACAAAAATATGTAGCAGCAGCAAGGGTGAAAAATGAATCAGGGTAGAGTATATTTATTCTTCAATCAAAGAATATAGGTATAAAAGATATCAATCAACAGGTGAGCAGAAATGAACAATATATGTCAAAACATCAAAGCGAGGTGCTAGCAAAATGTTGATTATACCAAACTCCACTGATGCTCAAGGGCATAAGACGTTGTTATGTTTCCCAAACAAAATTTCAATATTAAGTAAAACTGACCTCACTGGGATCTGTGTGGGCAAGGATAGCATTCAAAGGGTCATCCCTTTTCAACCTATTCTCTTCATTAGGCATTATAGCATCCTTCAATGGGCACTCACGATCGCCACTTTGGTGACCATAATTCCCACACCTTAAACACCTCACATTACGGACTTCAACACCAAAAGGTTTCACCCTGCCAGCAACTCCTGTGTCCATCCTGAAAAAACCCAATTACTAAAAATAAGATTAAAGACAGGTTCAAAGCAATCTATATTATCTTCATAGAAATAAATAGAATAATAAAAATTCAAGCATGTTATATAAACTGTCATGCTAGAATGAAGTTTGTTGTATGAGTAAACGTAGCAATCTGACAGCCTACTGCCAATCCATTAATTACATGGTAGGAGAACAACCACGCCTATACTGCATCAGATTTCTATTTGATGTCCCACTACCTTTCCATGGTGTAATGATCAAGGAGAATGACCCCTCCAATTTAACCCACAAGTCAAAAATATTCCAAGGGGTTTAGTAATGCAATTACAGCATTGCAGATTGAACATCCTCCTGCAGATCTAGCGCCTCCCGTGAGTTCAAATCAGAAATTGATGTTACTCTCATAAGGTTGAGGCCCACCATATCACCATATATGCGTTTGATAATCTTAGAACCACAAGTTGCACTTTTTCAATCTATAGCATTCAACATGATAGCCAGCCAATTATCCCAAGAACGGTTATTCAGTTTCCCCATGTAATCTGTTTCTTCGTTTTTTTTTTTTTAAATAAACAACGTACAGCATCAGCAATAACTTCCTAGTGCAGCTCTAAAATCAATGTGGTCACAATTAGGACACAATAATAAATTCCTACTGTCAGTGTGAAACTCAGCTTCCACGTACAACTGCAGTTCAGATAAATTGATAGATTATCCATCATTAGCATTTCATATGTTCTTCACACCAAATGTTGGCTAAAATATTATGGAATTAAAAGGTTGAAATAAGACATCATTTGGGATATGCGTGGATTGGCTTTCAAAAATGAGCAAACAGAAGAATGTTATTCCCCGTTGAGTTACAATGGCAGTTCTCTAACATACCGTGGAGCATTTTTTAGAATTTCGAATTCTTCTTCAGTTGGTAGAGGACGCCCAAACACATCCTTTGGCCTTGGTTTCTTCTTTTCTCCACTCAATTGGTCCTTACCACGTGAGGTTTCAGGTAGCCTGCAAGGCAAGCACGTTATGGGTTAATGGACTCCCGGTCCCCACAAAATAACGCCAGAGGGTCGACCTCATTGTAAGGTGACTCCTAGGAGTAACCACATAATTGGAAAAATAGCAACCAAAAACAGATAAGAACAATACAAAGTGATAATTACATGGAAGAGGATGTTCCCTGAGCATTTGGATCTTGTGGCGGCTGATTCAGGTCCTCTCTTCTCTTCTCTTCAGCCATCTCCGCCGCTTTAGCACTTTCAGCATTGTACCCCGGAGGCCGAACATACATGAAGCTAACAGCTTGCATGATTTCCATCTACACGTTACAGATTACAATTAACTTTAAAATCAAACAATTTATCCTCGCAGGAAAAAAAAACAAGTGATTAACTATGAGGTAGCTAACAAGACGAACCTTTTCTTTCTCCTTCTTGGAGATGAGAGCAGTCTGGTTAAAGAACTCCTGCTCTTGGGCATACTATAAAGAAAGAGCACAAAAACAGAGATGCAAAAAACTAAGAATCAGGAATAGATATGATAATTATGAATCATCAATATCAATAATCAATAATTTAAAAAAAAAAATGAAAGTATGAAACTGAATTGGGTCTCGTATATCCGAGACGCCTCCAATTACATCGAAACACACAATTTTTCCGGGTCTGATGGAAAAAGCAAATGGAATGGAGAAGGGACTTGCCTCACGAGCGACCTCCTCGGCGCGGCGTTGTTTGTGGGCGTGAGTCTGCTCTGCAATCCACTTACGGCGTTGATTAGGGTAGGAAAGGGGGTGCCATGGCTTCTGGTTGAGATAAGAATGGCTCCAAGCAGTGCCGGCCTTGGTCTTGTAGTCTACCTCTCCGCCCTTGTCGGAGAACCTCTTGCTCAGCCTTATACCACCTCCTTCCTCGCCGTCCATTCCCTTCTGAACGGACTTGCCTAGCTTCGAACTCGCTCCCGAAAAATGATCCTTTCGTTGTAGCACAGTCCTCCCGGAGTCACCGACCACAGAGCCGCCAGATCAGGTCAGGCCACGGGTGTCCGAGACACGCCGCGTCGTTCACCTGGTTTTATTTTATTTTTAATTTTTTAATGTCCTATTTATTTAACAACGGGCCAATCGCTTATGGGCTAGACCCAATCTCATCTTTGCTTGTTTTGCGGATTGGGTCATTCAATCAAGGCAGGCCATTAGCCCATTCTGGCTCAATGATGGGGTATCGCCACAAAAAATGTTTGGACAAAAATCTTGGTCGTTATTGTCAACGTGTTATCAAAAATACCTGCAACCGAAGAAAAAAGAAGAAGAAAAGAAAACAACTTTTCTTTTTCACAGAGAAGGGGACAAATCATAAAGTTGACATAATAAGTAAAAAATTGATTTTCTTGGATTATTTGAGGGTTGACCTTCTATCTAAAGTCCAAATATCTGCATATTTAATTTTTTTGAGTATCTTTGTGTGAAATATTTACCATGTTGCCACATTTTCTGATGGACAAGAGAGGTTAGGAGAGAATCCCCAACAGAGATACTGCTTTACGTGTTTGAGCGTCTAACTTCAAACCATGGGCCATGATTTTGCAAATATGATTACTTTTTGTAATGTGATCCATTGGCGTTTATTTCAGCCAAGAAAGGCATATCTTTGAAACAGAGAAAAGTATTTCATAGTCTTTTGTTAAATTAGGTCACCTAAGGTGGATTTGTAGTGATTTTTGTCTCAAAATTCTTATCATAAGGAGCTTTCCCCAGTCAATCAGCATAATAGTTTGCTTTTCTTATAATATGTTCTTAAAATAGCTTCTAATCATGTATATAAAGCCTTCTAACGGTGGAGTCAAGGAACACTATAACCTTTTGTTATTATTAATAATCCTAGCACAACATCAAACCTTAAATACTCAACATTTTATTAATATTATTTGAATAATAATCTGATTCTTTATGAAACTACATCTAGCAAATTTACCATTTCCCATGTTAGTTTATATTTTTATTTATATATTTTATAAATTGATTTTCATCTTAGTTCAAATTACATAATTCAATGAAAATTTCGTGTTAGTGTGTGTTTTAAAAAATTAGTAAAATAATTTTCTATTCTAATTAATATATAAATATACTTTAAATAATGAAATTAACAAATTTTATATGCTCTGAAAAAAAAGAACTTTTTGTTCTTTTCCAACCATGCTTTTCTTCCGGCTTTAAAATATATTTTAATTGATAAAATAATATATTTGTAAAAATAATTAATTTTATAAAAATATGATTTTTCATTTTAATAATATTTTTTAATTTTAAACTAATTTTATTATAATATATTTTTTATTTAAAATCAATTTTATAATTATATATTTTATGAGCATTAATGAAATATTACAAAAAAAAATATAAGAACAAAATGAATCATAATTTTGGTTTTTCTCCAAAAAAAAATCCCAATATGGGAGGTGCTAAAATGGGGGTAGGGGAGGGGTGAAAAGGAAAGTATAAAATTTCTAATTAAATGATGTTATAGCCAAATTTCTTTGTAATTTTGAGAATAATGATATGCCTATTATATCTGTATATTTATGCATACAAATTTGATATATAAAACTAAAAGAATAAATGGCTGATACTAGCAGTCATAACAATCATAGTGTTTTTGTAACATTTTTGTTTATATACTGACTCAAGAAACTAGCAGATGTAATGCTTCATACTGCAAATGTGCGTTAAAAGAAAATCATGTAATGTTAAATATGAATGAGAGAGTTGTTAAGGGAAAATGAGACATTAATGGTTTGATTTACAATTCAAATAAGAGATACTTTAAGGTTATTATAAACACTTTAAAAAATGATAGATATCTTTTTTGCTGAGCTAATGGCAGGTTAAAAAGGGTTAATTATATGTTTAAATCTTAGACATAAAAAGATCTAGTTGGAGACAGATCACATGTTAGTAGCTCGAATACCGCAATTGAAAACATAAATCTAAAAACACAAAAAAGAACTCAAAGAAATTAACTGCTTAATAAGCAGCACCATGACATTTGAATTAGTCCATATTTTTCGACAAGCAAATATATGTGTTGACTCATTGGCAGTGTATGCTTTCAAAACTTTTGGTACTAGTAGTAATATTGGGATTATCCTCAATCCGAAAACAATAAGAATATTGAAAAGACGGTTATAGTATGATAAGAACATATTGACTGATTAAGGTAAGAAACTTCCTGTAAATTATCTAAATATTTACGTGCCATCAAGATTTTTATTTTGGAAGAAACTTCTTATATTATATCAATTGGTATCATAGCTTATTTTTATGGTATCAAAGCTCATTTCTGGTATCTTTATCTCTATATTTTTCTATATTTTTTCTTTTTATTTTATCACTTCTATACACCAACTCAAGAAACAAGCACGTATAATGCTTCATACTGCAAATACGCGTTAACAGAAAATCATACAATGTTAAATACGAATGAGACAGTTGTTAAAGAAAAAAAGAATTGAAGGTTTGATTCACAATTCAAATAGGAGATGCTTCAAGGTTATTATAAACACTTTGAAAAAATAATGATGTCTTCTTTGCTAAACTAATGGCGGTTAAAGAAGGGTTAACTATATGTTTAAATCATAGACATAAAAACATCTAGCTAGAGACAGATCACGTGTCAGTAGCTCGAATACCACAATTGAGGATATTAATCCAAAAACACAAAAAAGAACTCAAAGAAATTAACTGCTTAATAAGTAGCACCATGACATTTGAATCAGCCTACATTTTTCGCTGAGCAAATACATGTGCTAACTTATTGGCAGCATATGCTTTCAAGACTTTTGGCACTAGCAGTAATATTGAGGTTATCCTCAATCCAAGAATAATAAGAATATTAAAAAGACGGCTTTAGTATGATGAGAACGGATTCATCGATTAAGATAAGATTTGTGAAGCCTAAAAGTGACTAAAAATGAGGAATTACTATTGACATATAGTGAATTAGTTAGAAAGAAAAAGATATGCAAATGTGATAAAAACAACTAAATAATTAGTTTGATACTGTTCAAACAATTATAAAAGTTGAGTGTTAATTATAAATTATGATACTTAATGATCATTAATTTCTAATTTAAGTTGACAAAAAATTTAATTCCTAACTTACGTTACTGAGTTTTGTATTTATGACAATTTTAATTAATACTAGCAACTTATATTTCTATGAAATTTTCTTAAAATCTAAATTTCATTAAATGAAAGTCTTGAAACTTTACCGTCATTCTTTTAAAATAAATTCAAAATATCAGAAAAAATTCATTGGCAAAATGGCAAAAAAAAAAAAGAAATTAATAAGTAATAATAATCAATTTATTATTTTACTCTTACACAATAATTTATATTTTTATTTATTTATTCTATAAATTGATTTAAATTTAAATTCAAATTACATAATCTAATGAAAATTTAGCATTGTTATGTTCATATGTGTTTTAAAAAATTGGTACAATAATTTTTTACTCTATTAATATAATAATATATTTTAAATAATCAAATTCTCAAATTCCACATGCTATAAAAAAATAAAATTTTTATTCTTTTTTAACTATGCTTGTCTTCAAGCTTTAAAATATATTTTAATTAATAAAATGACATATTTGTAAGAATTAACTAATTTGTAATAATATATATTTTCATTATAATAATGTTTTTATTTTAAATTAACTTTTTATTATAATAATATAGATTTTTTACTTTTTATTTATAATAATGTATTTTGATTTAAAATAAATTATATAATAATATATTTTATAGATATTAAAAAAATTATAAAAGATAGAAGTGCAAAATAGATTAAAATTTTGGTTCCCTTTTAAAAAAAATTTTAATTTGGAAGAACTTAAAATGGGGATAGGGGCGAAAGGAGAGGTCCGCTCCTATCCCACCCTACAACAACACGAAATTCACTAGTATAATTTAATGTCAATTTTTTGCTCGCAAAAAAAAAAATTTCTCTTATTTTAATATATAATCTAATTATTAAGTTAATTTTGATTCTAAATATAAAATTTATTTTTATATTTATTAATTTTTTCTAAATTAAATTTATAAACACTCTCTCAATCATAATCAAATAGACAGTGAAAAATTAAATTAATAAAAATGATTATTGTGTTTTCAAAAAAATATATATCATATTTTTTTATAACTAACTAACTTATAAATATTTTTAACATAATTAAATTACTTAAATATATGTTATATTTTTAAACAATTTTTCATAAAATAAAATAAATTTTTTTATATATTTACTTAGTATACCGTAAAAATATTTTTAAAATTAAAGTTTTGATTCTGTCTAAGTATTTTTTTTAATTCCTGACACCGAACCAATTTGGGCCCTGCCGCGTGCTAGCAAATGAGCAAACTCTTTTTTTTGGATTACAGCAGAGCGGTTCGAGCCCGCAACACACGCACCCAACACACACGCCACTCGGCCAAATGGCCAGTGACAGCAAATGAGCAAACTCTGGTGCGTTGTATCTGCTCTTTGTAAGAGCTCAGATCTTTTATCGATTTCAAGCATCAAAGAACATATTACAAGAGGAGGAGGCCCCCCTGGCATAAAGGGGCTTTCTGTTCACGATCGTGATTTGGCCGATGATACATCCCTATGCGAATTTCTCGTGGCTTTCAGTATTGTTTACTGCCGACACCAGGGATAATTGCAGCGTGCTGCAAACGTGGCATCACTCAATATTCGACATACCAAGCTCAAGAAGAAGCCTGTCTTTCTAAAGAGATCTTTTGGTCCCACTCGCATGTGCAACCTTTGAATTGTTTCTTCTACGGCTTGGAAATTTCCAAAACCTATGAACTAGAATGATTTTCTGTCACATTTTTAGCCCAGGCCCTCTGGCACCTGGTTCCTTGACCAAAGCGCGAATCTTTCCGTTAGTTTATCTTTTGATCCGTTCATTGGCCGCCGGTGTCTTGATTAAATGAATGCTTGTTAG